GGGGTACCGGGGATGCCCAGTCCTGTCCCAGCTTTGCCCAATTCCCTCGACATGTGCCTATGATGCACAGTGTCACGCGGGTGCTGCGCTGAGGCCACACGGCGTCACCCTGTGTGTCCCTCCTGCGCTGTGGGACAGCGTGGCCGGGCCGTCAGTTTGGAAGCAGCAGGGCGCGCTGACGAGTTAATAGACTCTAATTAATACAGATTGGGGAGATCACTTTCAATTCTGCTCCCTCTCCCTCTTGCAGAGGAGGAGCTGAGGGGGTGGATGAGCCAGATCCTGCTCCACAGCCACCCAAGTCCCACCGCTGCCGGTGCTGTGCCAGCTCAGCCTGTGCCCATGGGGACACCTGGGACCCCTGAGCACCCGCTGGGGTGACATGAGGGGCTACAGCGTGTGGGGAGCCACAGGACTCAGGGCCTTCAAGGAGGGGAGCGCGGTGCCTGGCCTGGTGCCCACAGCACAGCGTGCTCAGCATCTGGGTGTCCTGCCCCCGCCGCAGCCCCGGGGGGATGCCGGAAACGTTGGCCCCACCGGGTTCTGTAAATGGATTATTACTCAGAGTAATTAAGATGGAATTAAAAATTAATTCTCTTCTTCAGCGCGCCGTGGTCATGGCTCAGCCACGTGCTGTAGCCGTTGTACCAGGGCTTTCTCCCGAAAGAAATTGGATTGGGGTGGAGGTGGAGGGAGGGCATCACCCGGCGGGTGGTGGTACCGGGGCTCTGCGGGCTGTGGCTGATGCCTCCCCAGGGATGGCACCGCCCTGGCACCAGTCCCCCCTCACCATGTGCCCCGGGCACCGTGTCCGGCTGGGCCAGCCGAGGCGGAGAAGCTCTCACCCGTCACCGGGTCCGGCAGAGCCCCTGCCCATGCTGTGTCCGACCTCCTGCCCGGCCCCAGCAGCTGAGGGCAAGGCCAGCCCCGAGATTTTCTAAACTTCCATCAAATATTTAAATAGATATTTGAGCTCATGTATAATGGATCGCCTGCGAGCTGCCTCCCCATCCATTTGTGGTATTTAAGGAAGTCGAATATTAAACACCATTGTATTAGCAAAACCACCGTCTGCCTAATTGAGTTACAAACGGAGAAGGTGCTGACGAATAAACAATGCATAATGCATGGCCCCGTGAGCAAGATGCGGCCAGGACCCTGGCACTGGACTGAGTCTGGGCTGTGCAGGGTGCTGGGGACCGGGGGGGTGGCCTGGTGGGGAGTGGGCACCCCAGATGGCAGAGCTGAGGGTGCGAGGAACACATGTGCCACGCAAGGGACATGTGCCAGACCGTGGCGTGGCATGGGATGGCATGGCGCAGCGTGGGACATCCCGGGCCTCATCCTGCACAGGGGATGCTCAGAAACGGAGCCAGGAGCCCGAGAACAACCCCAGCCGCATGAGGAACAGAAAGATTATGAAAATGAAAAGTAAATAAATATGGATGTTGAGGACCTAATTCTGATAAGAGGATTTTCAAAATTAGCCATTTGCAAGAGTAGATTAACAGCGCACGGCGCCGGGGGCGGGAAGGGCTCCATTAAGACACGCTGCAAAGCCCGTCCCGGCACAGCTCCGTGCAGCCCCCAGCGCCTGTGAAGCTGGTCCCCACTTTTTAAGGAGATGGATTTGCTGCTGCTGTGGGGCAAATGGGGCGGTTGGAGGGGCCGGGGCACAGCTCGGTGCCACCTTGCACGCACAGGTCCTGCAGACGTGGTGCCATAGCAGCGGGACCTCGCCGGAGAGCAGCAGTGGCCAGAGGCACTGAGGTGCTGGTGCCTGCACCCGGGCACACGGGAGGGTGGGCATGACAGTGGCACACAGCCCATGGTCCCCACGGGTGTGCCTGGCAACCCCAGCCCACCTTTGGTGGCCGCACCAGTGGGGCTGGAATGTGGGGAGTGGGGTGAACAGGTTGTGAAGCCACCGGCTCCTGCATCCCATGGGGTTCCCGGCTGGAGCTGGTGATGATGCCCCC